AAAGCTGCAGAGCGCAGCACATTTCTTAATTGCTTGCAGATGTATTGTGTGGGGGTCTCCTTATAGCTACTGTTTATTCCAGCTCTCCATACTAATAAAGAGTCTTCATTCTGTGGAAAGCAATCACTATGGTTAGACCAGCAGTTGTTGAGGATATGCAGGTGATAGCTGCTCTGACATTCTACAATAAAGTCTCCTGTACCTCCTTGTTACAGCAGAATATAAGCATTCAAGCAGCGTTCAAGACCACAGGCTAGGTACAACAGTGAATTTTATCTCAAGTTAGTGCTTTCCTTTGGGATTGTCATCTGGCTGCCAAAAATGTACTTTGTATGTGCCTGGTCGTCTTCCCCAGTCCACCCAGGTTTCAAACCAGAAATCATCAGGGGACAATACCTAACTTTTGACAGCTCCTGGCATCTGGTGCTGCCTTGCACTGCTTGGCCTTACTGAGGAGCCAAAGTTGTTTTGCTGGGCAGTATGTCCTGTAAGCTGTTGTATAAACAAGTAGAACTCTCCCCACATAGCCCACCTCTTTGCTACAGTTTTTCTGCTCTCCTCTTTTGTATGAACTCTGCAGATCCTTCATGGTCTCCTTGGCCCATTCTTAGTCCCTTGTAAGCTGATAAATCTTCCAGCTAAGAAAGTGTGCTGTAGGACTGAGATAAGGCATTTGTCAGAGGAACCAAAGATGTGAAATTTAGCTAGAGACCTTTTACCCTGCAAGACAGAGACTTCCTTACGTACTTCCACAGTTTTCTGGTAAACTGTTGTATGCTGCTTAGCAGAGTGTGTGTGCCAACACTGCAGGTCTTAATCTGGGGTTGTGTTTAGGCAGGTTCGTACAATCAATGCTAATTTTACAAAAGCCTACTCTGAGGAGGGCACTCTGATTCTTGCATAGGCATTATATGACACTGTTCAAGAAGGTTCAGTATCTACATACTAGGAATCCTTCTTGGATCCCAGTAAAGGGTCAGAGATATCACCTGTCAGAGAGCCTTAAATTCTCCCTTTATTGCAGTGTGAAAAAGAGGAGAATAAGAAAACAGTGCTAAGCCCATTTTTACTTGCAGTGCATTGCAGTTGTATGCAAGGTGGACACACAGATTAAACAGAACAAACCAGCAAATCTGTGACTGCAAGGTCATCTATGTTACCTGTGCACCTGCAGGGAAAAGATGCTCTAGAGTTTAGAAGTACCTCTGTGCCAAATCATACAACAGTAACAGAAAACTTGCACAAGGTTTTACAATTCAATCAGTGCAGACATAAGGGGTAACATCACCCTGACTTGCAGATTAGACTATCTGACTTTGGGCAAGTCATTTAATATCTGTCCTAGTCAATCTGTGGCACAGTCTGGGTCATTATTTGCCATTAGAAGCCTCTAGAAATAAGGAGGCTGTTTCCTTTGGCACAGTGCTCTGACAGCATGGTACACCAGAGTTGTTTGGGTCTAGTCAGCTCTCAAGACAGGCAGCAGAATGTATGCCTCCTGCTTCCCTTCATCTGATATTTCTAAGAGTGTATTTACAGAGGCAAAGGAATCTGATACTGTTTAAAGACCTTCCATACAAGTCACATCCCCACTCTTTGGGAATGAAACCTTCATGTGAAATGATCCATTAGGTCTTAGGTAGCTTGTAAGACCTGAGCAGTTTTAAGACGTCAGGAAAACTTCTGCATCCCCATTCAGATACCTTCCTATTTATATTGGGCATAAATTGCAGGGTTTACTGCTTTCATGCAAGTTCACACATAAGTACTGTGTTAGGCATAAATAGCAGAGTTCAGGCAGCAAGGGCTGCAGTGGTGACCCTATGTGGGAGGAGACCATGAACTGCCCTGTTCCAGTCACCTCAGAAACCCATTTAAGCAGCCAGGCATGAGCCAAAATATCAGCCAGAGGAGCACATAGCACCTCTACTCAAACATATTTAAGAAAGAGCAGCAACTATTAGGAAAGGAGACATGCAGGGTGACTATTGAGAGACATGCTCTTGGAAGAAGGCATCCCCTCCATGCCATAGTCTGCAGGGACAAAAGCACAGAGGAAAAGTAAGTACAGAGAAATGCTAGACAGAAACCATTCGCACATGAGCCCAACCTCCTTTGCTGCCCATCACCTCAGAAGGAATTGGGACAGGCTGAATATAACCATAAAAAAACAAGGGAAGCTGAGACTAGGCAGGGGAGAAAAGGTGCTTACTATGTTCAGCCTCTAGAGTTTGACTTCTTGATGCTTCCCTTATTACATCACTGCTGGGATCAGAAACCTCTAGCATCATAAGGGCTACTTCTAAAATACCTGCTCCACCTATTTTAGTCTAGAAAGTCACCCATTGCATGCTAGAATACTTGAACAGTGTGCTCCTGGGTTTAGAGGTTTATGAAGGCTTTTTACTAGCGTGCCTCTTTCTGGCTTAAATGCCTGGCTGACGACAGACTTCATGGTTCCTTTCTGGCCTGCATGCTGGCATGGGACCTTGCCAACCCAAGCAAACAAAGTGCTAGTGCAGGGAAGGCATAGACACATAAAAGCTCTTTGTCTTCAGTAGCTGACCTTCAGGGAGAAGCAGCTTGTTTAGCTCTGTTGTGCTGTTCTTCTGTTGGACCTCTGCTGAAAATTATCCCCAGGCTACCAGAAAAAGAAACTATATTTGGTCCATGCAAAACTAGATACAGCAGACAAATGTGACTGAGCAACCAGATGGATACCCCAAAAAAGCCTTCAGTAGACAAAAACTGATTAGCTTTACTAATCAGATCTCATCTTGGCCCTGCAGAGATTTTACCAGTTAAAACCCTTCAATCCTGTCCATAGCAATGGTAAGCTATTGGCCCCCTCTCCCAGCAGCCTACTGCCTAGATGGATGTGCTATGAGCAATAATGTGGAAAGGAATGTTCTGCTGCATAAACTTAAGTCATTTGCCCCTTTTGCCCCATTAGTAATAACAAAGTAGCTCCAGACTTCTCTTTGAACAGAGCAAAAAGCTGAACTGTTCACGTCTACCTTACAGCATGCCAGGGAGAGGCAAGAAAAGGGCAGTCCAACTACTCACAACCACACTAACCAGCTCCTGGGCCTTTGGCATAGTGCTTTACAGAGGAGTGTGTGCTGTAATTACCACTAATGTGGAGTGGGGAAGGAGGCTATGTAGGGCTGAGGAGATATAGCCTGCTTTGCAAGGGCCTTGCCTGTGTTTAGAACAAGTTTCTCTAGCAGCACATCTTTAGTCATATAAAGGTAATTGTCCTTTAAAAAATAGGCGAGCTATTATAAGCTTTAATTCATGACTCAAGTCACAAGAAACTGTTGTGTATGGCCCAGCTATTTAACAAAAGAGCATTTGTGCTGGAACATACAGATTTTATTTTCAGTAACACAGACTTTATTGATGTTTCCCAAGCAGCCATTAAAAGTTACTGTGGAATTGTAATCAGACTGTAACAGAACATGTAATTCAATGTTTCTGGTGCACTTAAGAATAAATTTACCTCAGTAATGCTTAGCTGCAATATTAATGACAGACTGCCACCCGGTGTCTGGAAGGGACTAGAGCTCACTCCAGCACAGAGTTAGATGCATCAAAACAGCCTTGGCTGTAACCTTAGTTGAATTTTCCCCTGTCAAGAACTAGGAATGCCACTAGATGCCATGTAGGGGCTTTTCACAACGTGTTAGCTCAAAGAAGGTATTTTCCCTTCTGCTCCGGGGATAAGTGGGTGGATCAGCTCTTTTTGCTGTGAACATTACACCGTCTATTTTTACTGTCATGCTTCTTATGGACAGGAATCCTTTTCTTTAGGAATTTCTAACCCAGGATATTTTTAGAAGTCTCCATTTTGAGTGCACACCATGCACTGCAGAGGAATCATGTTTTCTTGGAAGTTTTCCAGCTACTCATGCTGTTTCCCATGGTGTTATGTTGGTTTTTTGGGGGGTAGTGTTTTTTTTTAGCTTTGATTTATATTCTGATATTATACAAGCAGAGACAAAGAAAGAACAGAAATCATCTTTCTGTTCATCTCATATTACTGTGCATTTGCTTAGATCCTGTCCCCAGTGGACTCAGGGCTACTTCCTTTGCTGGTCATGAGGTAGCAAAATTACAAATTTTTCTGAAGAGGAAGATAAGCCATTACTATCAGGATCTCCAGTTTCTATTTCAGCCAACAACGCTGCTTAATTTTAATCATGGGCTTAAGATCATTCCCACTCTATGAGAAAGGAACAGAAATGCTTTGCTGAATATGGAAACTAAGGGTAATTTATTTTGCAAAGCCCTAATTAAAGAGGTTAAATCTAGTGTTTTCATTAACAGTAACTCTTGGAGCACAGCTTATGCCTCCTTAAGAGTCTTAAACTCAAAGAGCTGGAACCCAGCCCAACTCAGAATTCAATTTCCATGGATCTCAGGTTTGATTATTTCCCCCTTGCCCCCCATTTTTCAGAGTAAAATGGTGGCGATTCCTGTTATCCCCCATAACTTTTAAAGCCTTGGCTTAGCTCTCCTTGAAAATCAAACACTAGCTTTACCAAGTTATATACTTTATATATAGTCACATCCTAATGGGATTTAGGATCCAGAATTCATGACAAGGGACATCCTAGCCTGAGATGGACATAACAGTTGCTATCCCAACTGCCTGCTGCTTCACAGTTTCCTATCCCATTGTCCAAACATTTCAGGAGCTGCCATGCTAACAGCTGAGCAGCCACAGGCTGCCTGCCAGGATTTTATGGCAGACCATAATCCCCAGGCTGCACCAGTACATACAGAGCTATACAATGCAGCAGTTCAGCTACTGTGTGGACAGCTGAAATATCTGGGCAGTAGGGATAGACACTCCAATAAGCCAGGTGGGCCAAGCAACCAGGACAAAAAGTGCCAGCAAAGCTGTGCTCATTCATCCATCAGGACCTCTGAAGCAGTTATCTTACTTTCCACTGACCACAAAAGAGTATGCCCATTTGGCTTGGCACATAGTTTCTGCAGACATACTAATCTATGAATTGTTGTCCTTCCAGGACCACTGGATTCAACCTTTCAAGCTCTCCCTGCATCCATTTGCCATGCTGACTGCCCCTCAAGCTGCAGAGCATGCCTGGAAACAAAGTGAGCACATTTCACCCCAACTTGCACAAGGCCAGGGCAGGGGGACATGGAACAGCAGCACCTGGCCCAGCAGAGCCACCAAGTTACAGCCTGCTGAGCACCAACAGCTGCACATGGAAAGGATAGTGTAAACCTTGCTCTGTGCCTATTCTCTTGCAAGGGGGAGGTACACGCATTTTTTCTTTGTAGCCTAGAAAGAGTGTCTAGCTCAGGCTCCTGAAGTTCATGACAAATGCAAAAGGAGCATTTTCCTCAGGATGAGGTAAACAATAAGATTACACATTTCTAATAGAATCAGCCTTCATGTCTGACAACCACTTGCTGTTCTTAAACTTGGGCTAATACTAGGACTTTTGCAAAGGTCACTTATGCTACTGGCAAGTGACAGAGCCATCTCCCTTCCCTGTTTCTTCTCCAAATGCAGCAAAAAATTAGTAACTTCAGGAGCATTAGAGAATTTGAAGCTGGGACCCCTTACCTCCAACCACGTATTGCAGCTGATCCCATGCAGTATGTCTGTAAACTAGCCTAGTGGCACTCTGTAAGCCCAAGATGATGCAAGGCTCTTTCTCCCTCCCAAGGCATCAAGTACCAGACAGCAGCAGCAGCTTATCAAAAGACCAACCCTTGTTCAGCAAGGAGAGCTAAAAAGGACAGCAAGCAACTGGACTCACTGACCAGAGGAAAGCAACAGGTTGACAAAGTAGGTCTGAAGAATTCACACAAACGAGTAAAACTGTTTTTACAACACTACCACTGAATGTCACAGCTAAAGCAGCACCTCAGGCCACCCCAAGCACACAAAGCCTTTCTTCTAATGCCCTTCTCAGCACTCTTTAGCATGAGATGTTTCATAGTAGCACTAATTTATAATATAGTGTTAATGCTAAATTGGACTTTCACAGCAACTTGCAGGAGCTGTCACTCATGAGCTGGAAAGTCAACTGCAGTAATATTCAACATACACATGGAAAGCACTCTTCTGGCTAATATCGCTGCAAGACACATTCACTACTATCACTTATGTTAAAAAACAGTTGAAAAATTCACTTTTTTTTAAAAATTAACAAAAATCAGACTCCACAAAGAACCCAGTAATGTCAGATTAGCAAGCATGTACATGAATTAGACTCTGCCTTTCTGTTTGTCCATGATTTGCTACAGGCTATTATTTGCTTCAGCTCCACCGAGCAGGAGAGCTAAGAAAACATTCCAGCAGCAGGGCTGGATTTGACCAACTAAAGGGGCTCCCCCACAGCCCTGAGTTCAGTATGCATCATGTCACACAGCAGGAAGGCAGCTGATCTGCCACACAGTCCCCGTCTCCTGATGGATTCAGCCCTGCGTGCTGTGCTTGTGCTTATTAACATTTGCATCCTGCAGGGAGCTACAGAAGCAAAACAAGGAATGTCTCCAGAGAAAGCAAGGAATGGAACGGAAGCAAAGACCTAATAAAGACCCAGACTTCACGTACCTCACATAGCTGTAGGTGAGCTAGCTGATGTCTTCTACCTTAGCTTTGGTAATGTGTTTGGGGAGAGGGTCATTTAAATCTTAGCATTCAGTCCTTCCTTCCCACCCCTCATATTTTGTATCCAAGATATTCCCCCTCTCTTCCCTTAGTCACCTTTCCTGCTTCCCTGCCAGTGTGTTGGGAGTTTACATTTTCCCAGTGCATCCCTCCTGCTTCTCAACCCACCATGCTACTTTGACAGGGCCAAAGAGAGGATGCAGCATTTCAGAGGCAGAGAGTACACACTTCCCCTTGTCCACAGTACTGTTCATCTCCCACACATGATCCAGAGTGAGGCAGGAATCGGCTTCCCTGCATGTGACTTGAGGATTGTGCCTTTCAGTATGATCTCATTCTCTTCAGCTCTCTCCTTTAACCATCCGGCTTTCTGAAGGACTCAGATAACAAAAAAGCCTCTTCCTGCAGTGCCAGTGTAGCACTGAAGCCTGTCTTCCATTCCCCATTGATAAGTCTGTAATGGTTTGCTTCTCTTAGGTCCATGCTGTGCTGCCCAAGAACACTCCCCATTTCCTAGATGGGCTGTCACAACCCACTTCCTTGTACTAACTCTGCCTTGGGATAAGAGTTGGGTGCACATGGTTCTCCTTCCACATCCCTCTCTTCCTCTGGCTGGAAGCCTGGGCACACAGCATGAGGTGTTTCTATAGGACTCTTTCTACTTTATTCCATAGAAGTTTCAGGGCTCAATGAGGTAGTAGAAGTGTTCACTGCTGGAGGTGTGTTTAACACTAACTGCAGGATAAAGATTCCATCAGAGCTCTTTACATATAAATATCATAGAAATTAAGATTTCCCAGCTACTTCTCCCCAACTAGCCAGGGGCTAGACATCCATCCAGAGTATGTATTGTACAGCTGCATTAACCCAAGCCTTGGATATGGTCCTGTACTCTAATGCAAAATATCTGCTAAAAGAAAAACCAATAAACTCTTGTGAAACAAAACCATTTTTCTTCTTCTGCCTGCTGATTCTGTCACTGAGCCTATTTATGGAGATGCCAAAAGACAGCACTATACAAGAAAGCCTGGGAATGGTTAAACTTAATCAGGAATTCAAAGGGTCTTTGAGAAACCCTCAAGGACTCAAAGCTTGCTTTCAGCTCACCAGGTTCACAGCTTTTTTTTTTTAACATAACTTATCACAAATTTCCTGTTAAAAACACTCTAAAATAAAATTTAGTTGCTATAAACACCTGTCCTTTCAATTCTGAGCTGTCCACAGGGAAGACCTAACCACAGCTTGGTACATTCAGAAGTTACAGGTTAACTGGCAAGTCTTTGTGCTGGTATTGATCAGGCTTCTTGGCCATACCATGCATCCCCCCACTTTCCTTTCAAGCCATGTGAGCCAAAATTCAAGGCCTAAGGGAGTCAGATGAGAAGACTAGAGGACATTTAAGATGAACAGTAACATCACCCGCCCTTACACAGGAACTCTTTAGCCATTAATTTCTGCATCATGGGCTGTTTTGCCCAGGTTAGCTCACTATGCAGGAAGCAGGTTGCTGGAACGCACTTTATTTAGGAAACCTCATTTAGGAGTTCCTACCTCTCCTCCATGGCCTGTGTTCACTGCTGGGACAGGTCTGCCCTATCACATTCAGCTCACGCTCATTCCAGGAGATCAGAGCATCCATCAGCTTCTAAACAGAGACTTCTGTTCTTGTAAACAAAATCAGTAGAACAGTAGGCAGCAGCCAGTGCCAGGACCTGAGCAAATTTCATTCCAACTCAAACAGCGTCAGTCTGACCCCTTGAAAGCCAAAGCAGAGAGAAATTGTACTTTGAAATGAGGTCATTACAAGAGGGGAGGAAGGGATATTGCTGCTGAGCATGTGAGTGGGAGAACAATGGTGAGGGGGTGGTTAAGATTAAACAGCTAGAGATTAACATCTCATGACTGATTTTTGTTCACTGACCTGCAACAAACAGTAAGACTTTAACAAATAGGTGGTTAGCCATGTTACTCCAGCGCTGTCTTTGCTATTAGAGTACTGCCATGGTCTTCACTTCTCATTGTCTAATACTTTCTGTTTCTTATAGATAAGGCTGGTGGAGTTAAGAGGAATAAGCAACAGAAATCTTGCTATGCTAATAAGCATAAAAACAGTGTTTCATTTTCAGAGTGCAAGTACCTGCTTACTCCCTCCCCTGTTGGCTGGCCAGTGTCTGATTGTCTGCACACAAAAATCAAGCTGAGCAGATCAGGGGGTTTGGTGTTCACATTTTTAGACAGCCAAAATTAGGGAGCTGAAATGTACTTGTAGATGTGTGCACAGCAGGATCAGCGAATGATAGCTTTCTGCCATCTTGACTGAAACTTCCTCTTTTCTTGAGCTATGTTGTCTCTTGACTAAAAACCCAGTTAGCCAGGACACCTTCAAACTCTTCTCAGCTGTGCAAAAAGCTACAGACATAGTTCAGAGATCAGATGAGATACAGAGTCATGAATTTATTCTACAGGACCCAGAAGAGACCTCTAATTATATGTACACACTTAGCACCAGTTGTCGTATGCATACAGTTGATGCCTACTACTGTACTGCAATACTATCCACAATGGGAAAGGTAAGAGACCATTCTGGGTCTATTCTAGGTACCTAAAATCATGGTACTGAGGCCTTGTGCAGCAAGAGGGAACAGAACAGGGCATCATCCACTTTCCCTTCGGCAATTAAAGAGCTGCCCATTGTATCCCAGAGACTGACTCCAGTAGCAGAATTCATGGTGGCAACCTGGTGCTGCAAATCACAGCCCAGTTCATGATACTAAAATCAGATTGTTTCAGCTAACACCCTTGGCTGTGAAAACACAGCAGCTGAGGCACAGACATACTGCTTGCAGGACTAGAGGTGCTAACTTCTTAAATTGCCCCACACAAACTTATGAGTCAGAGTCTTTAGACCAAAACCAGAGTTACTAGAGCACTGCCCATGCAAGCAAGCCCAAATTTCCCCCTCATTTCTGCTACAGTAATTCTAATTTCAGACATGTCACTACTGATTCTCTAGCTATTCCTGAAAGTTCTCACTCATTTTGGTGAAGAACTTTTTCCTAGTCAAAAATCAGGTGGAAACATCTAGCATGCATCTTGGAATGGCAAAATACCCATTTTGTGCGAGAGATTGGTTTATCTGCAAGATAAAAATATAACCAATCTGTTCTGAAAAGAATCAATTTTATCAGGACAGAATCTAACGTATTTATTAAGTACATGGGACTATCTATCTTCAAGAGGCAGCCAGCAGCAAGAGCAAGCAGCAAGAGCAAATACCAGAATCAAAACAACTACAAATTCAGTTTTACTCAATCTCTCTAAAACAATGTAAAGGATGCTGGCTCCATGAGGGGAGTCATGGTTGAAAGATCAAGCATTTCTGCTGCATTTTCTACATCTTAATGGTTAGAGGTACTCAAAACAGGAACTAGCCCAGACTGGCTCCAAAAAGGAGTTTGCAGCAAAGCAGAGTCAGAGAGAACACCAACTGCCAAATTCTGCACAGACGGTCACCAGGTCAGGCGCTGTTACAGAAATGATCTGCCAGGTTCTTGCACACAGGTATTCCCCCTGCCAGTGCTAAACACCTAGTCCATTTATGTGAAGCAAGTATGTGGTATGGTTGCCAAAGACATCCAGGGCCAGACTTCATGGCCTTTCATGGGGACTTTCATTAACATCCATTGTTCAAAGAACTCATGTGCAATCCATGCGGAAATAACTATTTCTCTACACCATTCACCATCCCAAAGATCTACCCACCAGTTTGCCATGTGGTCGGACTCAATCTTAAGACTTTTTTCCAACCTATGATTCTATACACAAGGGATTACCCTTTGAAATAGTCTCGGATGCGACATTAAAGCACTGCAACAACTTTGCATTAACTTTCTTCTTAAGTATTGCTTGCATGCTTACACTGCCTGTTGCCAGTTCCATTGAGTCCAGGACAGCAACCCATCCAGCCAGCAGACAAAAATCAAGCCCTGAACAGCGTACTTACAGTAATAGAAACAATTAAAAAAAAGCATCAAGTCAAGTACAACAGTCAAGCAAACATCACAAGGAAATCCAACAGGATAAAGGCAGGTGGTCTGAGGTAACCCAGAAAGCTCAGAAGAATAGGGCTGAATATACTAAAGAGGACAGGAGGGTATCTAACCTGTTTGGAAACGGTGAGTGCACATTAGCCCCTGTCATTTAATAAGGATATGGTTAAAAACAACTTCAGTGAAGTGGTTTGTGATGGAGGGATGTGAAGGTGGAGATTCCATATTCCTCCTATCCATTTCCCCAGAAGACACTCTTGTCTGTCTTTCCCTTCTTGCCACAGCACTGAAAGCCTTTTTCTTTGGCCTGAAACCTTGTAAGCAAAGCTGTACTCCACTAAGTCTCCCAAGCCTTGCCCTGCTCTCCCTCTTTGCAGTCACAAACACTCATTTGTTCCACTAGAGGTGGAGACTATGTATTTGCAAATAGAGCTCTTTTAAATAAATTAGATCTACAAAGGTGTTCATTTGCATGCCAAGTTAACTGACAAATCATGTTGACAAGGTCTTTACATGCTTGAATGAGTTCCCCCAAGTACATAAGATTATAAATTTGGTTTTGAGTGCAGTAGTTTCTTTTGATCTGAAGCCTCACCTACTGATGATATAAGACATTTGTATAACCAGCTTAGCATATTCCACAAAGTAGTTTGGTTTTAAAGTGTATGATTTAGGCACAAGAAAATGATAATCAGGATAGAACAAGTCAAGGCTTGTTCCTGCCCTGCACCAAACAGGAAAAAAAAAAAAACAGAGGAAAAGTTCTGAAACAGAGGAATACAGTTTCCCATAAGCTACTAGCTGTGCTTTAGAGTTAAAGCACTCTGCTTTAGCATTAAACAATTTTTCCAGGTTCCAGATAGAAAACGACTTGCATTTAATGCAGCTCGCTCCCTTGGAATTTTTAAAACAGACTTTCAAGTGGAAAAAATTGAACCAACTAACCCAAACTGATTTTCAATGTTAGCCAGTAATTCAGATAACATTGACAAACATCTAGTAAGAACCATTTGATTTGCATCTTCTTAATCTTCAGAGATGCAGCAGTGAACCACACACCAGAAAGGGAATGAAAGTTTTAGTCACTATTTCTTCCTAACACATCTGTGTTAAAATCTGTACACAATAGAAGGGATTAGTAGGCAAAAGCTAACACCACCACATGAGACAGAGACTTTTCCTGCTTCCAGGATAAAGCAGGTGACAAAGTATTAAAATTGAAGCAAAGTTCATCTGCTCTCACAAAAGGAAAGATGGGACAAACTTCGGCATGAGGTAATTGGCACAAAGTAGGTAGGGAGAGGAACAGACCTACACCAGAAACTGCTCAGGTCCACTGAATTCAATAGCTTTCAGGCAGAGGAGGTTCTGTAGAAGAGAACCACTCTTACACACACATCCCCCATTCAGGCGCACCACATGAAACAGTTGATACCAGCTGAAAGTGTAGTCCACTCCACAGTTACACAATAATTCACTTGCACATATCATCAGCAAATGCAGCCCAAGCCCCTTAAGAATCCCACATGGTAAATGCAATAAATGCCATAACTACAATAAAGACAAAACATGAGATCTCCCCACAGCTTAGAATGGGCCCTTCTGTGTTACTTTTTTCCAGATGCATTAGGACTATGGTATGTAAAAGCAACCACAGTGTTTGCTCACAGATCTCAGCATTCACCTCCAACTGCCAAAAATGGGAAAGGTAAGCAGAAGCCCCAGTATGCCAGTACCCTGCTTTGACACAGACACTGGGATGGACTATGAGTCTTTGAAAACTTTGAAAATGTTCATATTGCAGATCTTTTTTTTATGAATTTAAGAGCTTCTGGGGCCACAGCTATGAATGTAGCAGTGACCACCTCCAACTATGTGAAACAATGCAATTCCATCCTGGTGAAAAAAGGCAGCTGGATGTTTTATGAGAACCCTAATTACTCAGGACACAAAGTACTTCAAAAAGGTGAGACTATACTGACTTTCAGAAGTGGTTCATTCTCTGCAACTCCATCAGGTCTTGCCACATAATCCTACAAGCAAGTTCTGCTTGGCAGTGTATCAGTTTAACAAATTAGGTATAGTTTATCCTTTAAGAATATAGGTATACAGTCACTTCAAGTAACTTGAGACAGGCAAAGTTCAGTAAGGCTTTACAAAGTTTCACTGAGGGTGAAGGAAATAATCTGCTTAATATCAGTGCTGTTTCCATGGCCTGTTCATAACTTGGAGATGGTAAAAGAAAGCTGAGTGACCATTTCTAGGTAGAGAATGTTTTCACATTGCCCAGGGAATGGCTAGCAGGGCCAACTGATACAAAGTTCTGCTGTGGGCTGATGGATGCAGGTTGCTCATAACAATACTGTGTTATAATTCAGTGACACAAGAATATGTTAAATCAGGTTTGCAATGGGTATGGCTTTCCTAACATTGGTTAAATTCAGGCAAAGAATTAATACTTGCTAAAGTACTCCTCTGGTTAGTAAGATATACTAACATAAGATATATGTTAGTAATATATAACTAACTTACAGTATAAGCCATAGCAGCAGGAACACTCTACATGCCCATGCTTCACATAGCTGTTTGCCACATGGCAATTGCCTGCACACCAGTGTATAATGGGAGCATATGGAGTAACATGGTAAATGTCTTTTAGCAGCACAATTCTGAAAAGGCCACATTATTCATGCTGGTCACAAGTAAGCACCACAGATCATCTCAAAGTGGTGAGATGAATACATTTTCTCCTATACTGACAATATAGAGTCCTTATAAATTCCATTCCTTCAAATCATAGAGCATCCTCAATTTAATTCCTACCACACATGCAGTCATAACCATTTGCTGGCACTCCTGAGCTTCTCCACATGTGTAAGAATTAAACCTCCTATTAGCTTCAAAAGATTAATCTCTTCACAATCCCATCTCCAGAATAGGAAACAATTTCCCAGAAATGCATATAGTAGCTGGGAAAGCTGCCTTTTTCTGTATGTCTGTCTTGTTTAGTAATGTCAGAAGCAGTTAAATTTCTGTCTTTCCTACATTTTTGCTGTGTTTGCCACTGCAAAATTTTGTTTCTCACAAGATTGAGCTCTGAAAAAAGAGGAGCTCCAAGGCCAAATGTTGGAGGTCACTGATGATTGCTCATCAGTCCCAGGCTACCTCCACATTCCTGAGATCTGTTCCCTCAGTGTTTGAAGCTGGCTCTTGGATCTTGTATGGAATGCCCAACTTCAGGGGCTGACAGTGTTTACTGAAACCCAGGGAATACAGAAGATTCCTTGACTGGGGTGCAGTAAATGCTAAAATTGGCTCTTTGCAGAAGCTGGCTGACTTGCACTGAGTTATTGCTCCCACGCTAAACAAACAGTGAGTGCATTCCAAAATCCTTGTTCAAACGAATCTTCCTTCAGTACTACGAACAAATGAAAGTTGTGCAGTCCAGAAGGAAATCTGATTTCTCTCACATTTTAGGTGGAGAGGGGGAATACTTTAAAAACATTCACCATTATCCATCTGTTCCACAGTACATCATAATTTAAAAAACTGTTAAAGATCCAACTGCATATTGCTAACCCTGCTAAATTTACTTCACTAGATATAGCTGTTAATAGGAAGGTCTGATTCTTTCATTTAAGTTTTCCCTAGTTTTACAAGTTTTGATCTAGGAATAGATTCCAGCTCTATACTTTCCAGGGTTAGCAATATGCAGTTGGACCTTCAACAGTTAATTATCATGTACTGTGGAACAGAAAAGTAAGTCCCATTAATAGTTATATCCAGTGAAGTACTGACTGAGGAGGAAAAAGACAGAAAGATGCAAAGGAACTCAGAGCAGGGTGAACACTGTGCTCGGTATCAAATTCTTCATGCAAACAAGCTGCTACATGGTACCACCAGTCCAAAGCTTTCCAGTCTTACCTAATTCCTCCAGAAAGAATTTTTCTAGATCCTTAAATCACACCACTTTTATATATCTTGTTTTAGTGAGCCTGTACTTCATGAACTAGACGGTTAGCTGGTGTCAATCACCCTGCCTCTACCAACCTCAGCTGCAGCAGTTCAGTGCAGCTCTGAAGATTGAGCCAAATCCGTCAACTGCCAGGCTATTCTGCATGCAAAAGGAATTAAATAAGCATGCCAGTGTGGATTAGAAATAGGACAACATCTTGTTGTGCTGGAACAAGTCGATTGCAGCATTAATTATCATTCAAGTAATTATGTATATGCTTACTAATCATCACTGAATCCTGTGCCAGCAGGCATTCTGTGCAATAATGAATGAGAGCCATAATAAACTGTAACAAAACACAGTTAAGGGATCTCATATCTTAACATACCTCTTCTCATTTAAGTAGTAGTCTCTAGATTATTTTTTTTTTCCAGGCATAGTTAGGCAAATATACTACTGTTCTTCAGCAAGGTTCTGGAGACTTTTGGAAAGAGAAAGCGATACAGAAAGCACAGAACTAACTAGGATACTCTGCAACCTTATCTAGTATATATTTAATTTTAAACCTTTTCTTCTGGGCTTTAAATGGTAGGCTTTGATTTTGTTTTGCCTAGTGAACATTCTGAGAATGGAGTCCTTGAATAAAACCAAGCAGCTTCTACAGCAGTAAGGTAGGCTGCTTAAAACTCACATCTCCACTTGCTAACGTGAGAGACCTCATTTAGCCATTATTTCACACTCACATGACCTGTCAGTAATAGCCTGTTAGTGATTCTCACTAGCCTTTCCCTGACAACACTGGAGATGAAAATAGAACTATTCTTTGCCCTTCTTGTCCTTTCTTTTGTACATGGGACACTATCTCTGCCCTTCTGCCTGTCTTTTATTGTGCAAAGTAGTCTGTTCAGCTGCTGCAAATTCCCAGTGTACATACGAACACAATGCTTCAGCCAGAGAGAAATGGAGCATGAACAGTTCAGCTTTCAAGGCAGAGGTGTGAAAAAGCATGTTTCCTCTTGTTCACAAATGCCCAATATTGCGCATTTATAGGAACTGCACAGTGTAAGTAATATGTGCATTAGCATGCTAAACCAGGTTTGCCAAATACCACAGCAGTTCAAGCACAGTATCTACTTGCCTGCTTAGAACAGGGAACCAAAATATTTCATTTGCCTTCAGCAACAATAAAGAAGAAACAGACCAGCTCCCCATACAGCAATTAACATATGCCTGCATACTCCAACAAAGTATCTAATTCAATTAGTGCAATTGAGAAATATGGATACATAGTGATGTGTAGGTTACATGCTGGCATTCCTTTGGTCAAAGGCAAGAATGAACAGAAACGTACTATTCAGTGATCAGAGCAATAATTAGGATGTCTGGATTCTTGACTCTGATGCATCCTAGAGTTTGGGGGTAGCTAAACCTCTCCAAATTTCTCCACCTGAGACAGGAATGGTGGCAATACCTAGTTTTCAAGGAGCACTGAGAGGTTTCACTTGCTGTTGTTTGCAAATGCTCAGACAATCTCAAGCAGACATTAAGAACAAGGGTGCTAGGAGAGCAGTGCTGGGAATTCAGAGAGCATCCAGGTTTTTGCTAACAAGTCTTCTAGGTTCCTGTACCTTGTTTTATGGTTGGTAGCAGGCACTAGAGTTGCTGGCATGCAGAGTATGTTTCTCTACACAAACACTCACTGCTATTCTGGGGTGCAAAAGCAGTCAGTCTCCATGTAAAAGCAGCTGTCATAACAGCACACTGGTTGAGGGCAGTTGGAACAGATGTAAATAATCAGACTTCTCAGATCATGGATACCATTGGCTGACAAGATATTTTGGCTCCAGAGTTTAAGATAAACCCAGAGCCCTTCCTGAAGTGCACAGTCCATCTGTGGCATAGGGTCCTGGGAGGGGAAATTCTACAGGATTCAAGGAGAAACTGGATGAGTACTTGGAATACAAATCCACTGACGGTTATTAACCAGAGAGAAGTAACCTGCTCAGGAAACCTCTTGAGCTAAAGATACTCTTTAAACTAAAGTTTGTTCAAACTATCATAGGTATTTGCTTCATATCTACCCTTCCCTCAGTGCCTACTCATGGTTGCAGTTGCTGCCAAGTTACTTGACTAGCTGGAGCACCAGTCTGACCTATGATGGCTGTTCTACATTTGTAGCTGCAATAAGGAATTCACATATCACTGCCCATACTCTGGTCTCTCAAGTTCCAAACTTCATCACCAAGCCCAGTGCCTACTGCATTAAACTATGAAGGACCATACAGAATCCAAAGACAACCCAGTTCCATGAAGCAAGCATATCACAGAAAGAACAAAAAAGTGTAACACTTCCAAGCCTGTTCAAGATCTTTGAGAAATGTAAGTACAGGCCTGTACGTAGAAGTTGTTCCTGTAAGTTAATTCAATTTGTTTAGCATTTACCATCAGAAAGAAGCTATTTTTGATCCAAAGAAACATGGAGGTATTCAGAAGCAACTGCTAGACTTAAACCCACACTTTTCCCTCAGTCTACTTTCAGTGTTAAAGGCTACAATTTCCTGCCTGAGGAAGCACCTCCATGAGAGGCTGACAGGAGTGATACTATTTACAACTCATTAGAAGCACAACTAGAGTTGTGTAAAAACAGGCCAGCTAAAGATTTGCCCCTGAAGTTTTGTACCTTCTGGCAATCATCATACAAGGCTCATAGCGAAAGACATGCAAGAAAGCACAAACATGTAGCGTTTTGGTTGAACAAGCCACCAATGAGACAAAAAGATTCACTATTGCTCCCTGCAGTATGAGCAGGAAATATGAAAATGTGGCACTGCACGTGATAGGATTTTGTGGAGGTTAGTTCAAAGGTGTGTGTGGAAGGAGAGAAAAGGCAGGCGAGCAGGAAAGAAAGGAATGGTCCCTGGAAAAGTTGGAGTACTGTTTAAAACTCCAGAAGAATAACTCAAAACTGCATTGTTTATATTTTTCCTTTGAAAAAGTCTTGGATTATTATTTTTTTAAATTTCAAATAGTTAACATTTCTTTTATATTTTTAACATTGGTTTGTACTTAGGCCTTGTAATTACTAGACTGAAAGGAAAATACTTAAAAGGCCTGATCTACCACCGGCAGCACAGAACTTTTACTCACGTTACCTGCATTACTCAAATGAGACATAAACTGCGAAGAAAGTTCTTGCTAGAATCCAAAGATAATCAGCAGCAGAACAACTTTACCTAAGTAGCCCCAGAGTACATCAGCTTCAGCCTGCCCTTCCAATAAATTCAAAACATCTGACATTGAGGCTAGCTGTTGCCCAGACTTCTGAAGACCATGCAACGTACTGATTGACAGAGACTTGCACTACACTGTATCAAAGAAGGGCCCAGAATGAACACAGTCCTGAGCATCTTTGGGATTAATCAGATCACTGAAAACTTTCCACAATGTTCTTCCTAAGCAACTTTTTTAAGTTCAACTGCAATTAAAGTTTCTCCAGCTGAAGAAATTACTATGCTGCTGCATTTTGCATCAATGGCTCATACCTGAGCTCCAAAATTCTGTACATCTCCAAAGTAAAACATTTCTCTGTGCAGATTTGAAAAGGCTCTTCTCTGCCTTAAATAAGTGGTATTCATCCTTCAACTTCTAGTCTCTATGAACTCTGAATTATGTTAATACGGCATTTTTAATACTACACATTTTTAATTACATTGTTTTCTCTTACACATACTCTTACTGTTAAAGGAAACAGGCAGCAACACCTAGTCTGAAGACTTTTGAAAATCAGGACAGTTTTTATTAGCATACTGTGAAACTGTTTTAGAGTATGGTCACTGGGAATCCATGTGCATTTAAAAACTTGTGTCTTATAATCAGGGACCAGAGAGAGATTACAAATAAAGTGACATGAAACAATTCTGCTGCAGCATTTCCAGTACTTTCACTTCCCCACGTTCCATCAGTAAAATAACTGAAATATTGCTTGACCTACCCTTTACTCTGATCCTCTGCTTACTGACAGTGACAATAAAGTTGGTACCCCACAATCTACTGCTATTGCCTTATGTTTAGAGAATGACAATGGAGACAGAGAGAGGAAAAAAACATTCATTCTCTTTACTGAGCAAAAAAAAACCTCTTTTATCCTATTCCTGTGGATACAGCACTGTGCCTTCTATATACAGGATTGCTGACTCCCCCTGCACACTGAGGTCTCACAGCTAAGCCCTGGCAAAAATGGCAAAGGTAAGAACAGCTGGGTGCATGGAGTACTGACAGACAACCTAGCACATACATAGATCCTTGTAGGCAAGCATGTTTGCAAACATAGTTTGTTGGTCTACCAACAAATTAGCAGAGGGGAAGCCTTGAGTGGCTCTTTGATAAGTTTC